GTATAAGATAATAGATCAGTGAAACTAAACAAATCTGTCAAGGGCAACTTAATGTTAGCAGAAATTCAATAAACTCGCTGTTTCGTTTAAAGATGCAGTCAGTACAAAGTATAAATACTTTGAAATATTCTTTGATTGATTTAATAAAATTTAGTAAAATTCTTTCTCCTGATCGATCAAATATTTCTTGTAAACATTTGTTTCAATATTTTTGATCAAATATTTCTTGTAAACATTTTTTTGTAATGAAACTTTGACTACATCTTAAATAATGTTTGATTTAGTAATTGATTTTCAGTGGCGCGATATTTAAAAGTCTTCACAGTCTTCAATTGAGCTCTTATTAATTCTTTTTATTAATTTTTATGATACATTATTATATTTTATTTTTGTATTAATTTTATGGTATATCTTTCGCAGAATTGAGAATAAAGGAGTTATTTCTATATTTCTATAAAAGTAATTCGTTATTGCAATTAACATTCTTTTTTCTGAAACTCATTTATTGTTACTTATTACTGCTTTAAAAAAATAACTTTGTTATCGTTACTAATAAAAGTTACAATTCTCTTTTATTTTCATAACAAATTTTGATGGCATTTTTCAAGTGATATCCAATTGTCTGTATCATCAATTGATCATTTCAACGTAAGATCTATTAAGGAGTTTTTGCAATATCATTATCCAGATACAATGAACGTTAAAATCACGTTATCTTCTTCTTAACAATTAATTAAGAAAATAATGTGATTTTAGCACTCACCGTATTTGGATCCACGTTATTGCAAAAACTTCCTATTAAATCTGATATAAATACCATTTCGATTGTTTATCAAAAGTGGAGTGCTGCCTTAACAAAGATGACTTATGAGAATACAAATTATGGTCGTATACACTGCAGTACTATAAACACTGAAAACTATAGATTATACGTAACATAACTGTAGTTAGTACAGTTCGTATCAGACTCGATCCATGTATTTATACTCTAACAAAGATTTATATATCTCTCTTCGACTTTCGCCGAATATCTCTATATGGTATAGACGTTATGTCCTAATTAGTAGTTAATTTTCATTATAATAATAAAAAATTGCAACATCATTATCAAATTATTATAAAAAGTAACGGAAAAAGTAATGAGAATAATAATCTTCCATTCCCTATTATTCACCTTCTTTGTAAAAGAACACATGTAATTTCAGCATCAAAGAAATTTTGTTTTAAATAACATTAGCAAATTTACTGAAACAATTTGCATCTTATTGATTTTTTTAAAAAGGTATTTCATTGAACGCCACTCAATGTATCAATGTATTTCCAATAGTGTGAAACCAATATTGCCAAACTTGTCATGCTTGTCATTGCGATATAACTATATCATCTGTTAATAATCTATCCCTGTTATGACCGAAATTTCTGGGTATTAATTGTCATCCCCAGATAATAATTGATAGACGTCACGTTCAGTTCGCATTAATTGCGTTATATAGTGGTTGACATGTCGGTGCGCGGTGTCGACAAGATTCAATTTTTTTAATTAAAATTTGGAGCGAGAAAATATAATTACAAAATAGAACAATGCAATATTCAGAGAAAAGAAAATTGGACTAAAAGGTTTCAGGAATATTAATCTTATATGTGAGAAAATCGAGATACCTCTTGAAATTTTTTATAAGAGAATACATTTTCTTATCTGAAAATTTTATATTTGTAAAGCCTTTAATTTTATTTATTTTAAGTTTATTTTAATCGAACTTTATTTTATCGTCCTTTAAAATCTGCTTGAAAAATTTTCTTATCTCTATTGTCTTGAATTTCTTTAAAAATTCGATAACCTTTCAATGATGTATTTGCGATGTAAATGCAAATAAGTCTCTTGACAAAGGCCGCTATCCTGATGTGAGAATCGTGAAAGAGATAGCAGGATAATCTGTCCATTTATCTTCCTTAGCTACCATATAATGGAAAGCTACTTATTTCCCTTTCGCGGTCAGATCGAGGATTTACAGCTGCGAATCTGTAAAACTGATAGTCGAGCCTGAATCGCGGATTTCGTTTCGCATTCTAAAAAGCACTCTGTAAGAGATATTTCGATAGGCACTATTGATCGTGTAAAAGCGGTTTGAATTATTCACAAATCAGAGAGTACCTAAAAATCTAATATTTAAAAAAATTGGAATAGAAAAAAATATTCATAAAAATATAAAGATCTGGAAATAAAAGTATTTAAAAATTGAAGTCCAAAATGTTAAAAATATGATAAAATACAAGAATTTTTCGATGCAGAAAACAAATAACGAAGAAATTAAAATATGTTATAGAATTCATATTCACTTTATAATTCAAGAAACGTTTTTAAAATTAAATTTTTAAAATTAAATTTAAAATTAAAACAGTTTTATTTAAATAATACAAAGATAAACGTAGAAGATAATGTTCCTGCATGAAAATAATTAGATATGTATATTAGGAACATGCAGTTTTAAAGGGTTCTCCAGTTCTATCAAATAAAAGAAATCATTGTAAAGAATCTTGAATAAAGTAGTGGCACTTATTTTTATTGTTGCCATATCAACTTTTCCACAAATAATTCAATGTATTTTTACAATCCATATTTATACTTTAATTAATACAATATAGGCCACAGAATAATTAATTATTGACCTTCAAACAAACATTGACTCCGTTTCATTCATATATTGTTTCACAGTTCGAAATATTTCGACCTATTTTTAACAAATACAATTCACGATATATTAAGATTCTTTTATATTTGAATCAAATTTTCTTCTCTCGTCTCTATACACAATTAGTTTTTATAATATTTACACATTAATAGTTTAATACAACACTGTGTGAATTCACAAAACGTGCATAAAGAAATAGGAATTGATCATAGTATCCTTTGAAGAAATTTATGAAATTAACTTCTCTTCAGGGAAAAAATTGTAAAGGGAGAACTAAATATCACATGAAGCGTAGCGTACTGCAGTCTTTGGCGCACCTCTCTTTCATTCGCCAACTTTACGTCTATATTTGTACATCTCGTTTAAAAAGAAATGCGCATAGACATACAAAATAAAACAAGACTTTGAAGACTCTAAAGATAGATTAATATCTTTTTATACATGTGTTTTGAACACATATTAATTTGTAAAAATATTTTTTATTCTTTTTATTTGGATAAAAATTCGTATTGCGCTTGAAAAACGTGATTCTCTTTTTGCTACTTGTTTCGTATGTTACTCCATCAAATATATTAAGTTTAAAATTAAAAGTTTAAAGAATTGCGATCTTACACAAAAAGATCGCGTCTTGGCCGAGCCGTAAATCATGGAAGCCGTATAATAAAATGTTTAGAATTAAGTCGAACTTCAAGTTCATTAAAAAATACATACTTATTACTAATAAATTCCCATTTTTTTATGCACAGATAACGTATTTTTCTGATAGTTGACCATTTTCAACGTAGGATCAACGTTCACGAGAATAAAATCTCTCTTTACATCTGAATTTCGTAATTATTTTCAACAATTACATATATATCGTATATACATATAATTATATTTATATATATA